CACGAAATATTATCGGTACAGAGGTGGATTGAAGGATGATTGGAAATACAGATGTGAAAATGGATTCCGTCTCTTTTTCGTTTTTAATTTTTGAGTCTTTATCAAGCTCCCCTCTAATACAAACCTTACTCTTACTTATATACAAACATAAAATAGGATTTTGATTTTCTTAAATGACTATAAATCCCTTTTTAGATAAGACCAAGCTAAAAACTAAACTAACAAAAATAAATACACTACAAACTATTTTTTCTTTTATTTTTTCTGAATAAAAATTGAGACCCAAAATGATCAAAATCGATAAAAAAAAGAATATTTAATTAACTCAAAAAAGAAATGAACACATTAAAAAAAACTAGAAATCCCAAAAATGATGGTGAGATATAGGTAACTATTGAAGGACTCACAAAATGTTAACGTACAAAGGTGGATTGAAGGGATGATTAAAAATAAAGATGTAAAAATGGATTCCGTCTCTTTTTCTTTTTCAATTTCGAAGTCTTTATCAACCTCTGCTCTAATACAAACATTACTCTTACTTATATAAAAACATAAAATAGGGTTTCGAAATTCTTAATGAGCTAAAAATTCCTTTTAGATAAGACCATGCTAAAAAATAAACTATTAAAAATAATTACACTCAAAACTATTTTTTCTTTTATTTTTTATAAATAAAAAATGGAGACTCAAAATGGTTAAAATTGATTAAAAAAAGGGGAACACTTAATTAACTGAAAAAAGAAATAAACACATTAAAAAAACTACAACTCCCAAAATAGGTGGTGAGATATAGGTAACTATTGAAGGAGTCACAGAATGTTATCGGTACAAAGGTGGATTGAAGGGATGATTAGAAATGAAGATGTAAAAATGGATTACGTCTCTTTTTCATTTTAAATTTCCGAGTCTTTATGAGACTCCCCTCTAATACAAACCTTACTCTTGCTTATATACAAACATAAAATAGGATTTTGATTTTCTTAAATGGCTAAAAAGCCCTTTTTAGATAAGACCAGGCTAAAAACTAAAACTAGAAAAATACATACACTCAAAACTATTTTTTCTTTTATTTTTTCTGAATAGAAAATGGATACTCAAAATGATCAAAATGGATAAAAAATGGACACTTAATTAACTGAAAAAAGAAATGAACATATTAAGAAAAACTACAAATCTCAAAATTGATGGTGAGATATAGGTAACTAATGAAGGGGTCACAGAATTTTATCGGTACAGAGGTAGGTTTAATAGATGACTAGAAATGAAGATGTGAAATGTATTTCGTCTCTTTTTCATTTTCAATTTCCGAGTCTTTATCAAGCTCCCCTCTAATACAAACATTACTCTTACTTATATACAAACATAAAATAAGATTTTGATTTTCTTAAATGGATAAAAAGACCTTTTTAGATAAAACCAAACTAAAAACTTAAACTAATAAAAATATATACACTCAAAACTATTTTTTCTTTAATTTTTTTTGATTAAAAAATGGAGACAAAAAATGATCAAAATCGAAAAAAGGGACACTTAATTAACTGAAAAAAGAAATGAACACATTAAAAAAACTACAAATCCTAAAATAGATGGTGAGATATAGGTAACTATTGAAGAGGTCACGTAATGTTATTGGTACAAAGCTGGATTGAAGGGATGATTGGAATTGAAGATGTGAAAGTGGATTTCGTCTCTTTTTCGTTTTCAATTTCCGAGTCTTTATCAATCTCTCCTCTAATACAAACCTTACTATTACTTATATACAAACATAAAATAGGGTTTTGATTTTCTTAAATGCCTAAAAAGTCCTTTTTAGATAAGACCAAGCTAAAAACTTAAACTAATAAAAATAAATAAACACAAAATTATCTTTTCTTTTAATTTTTTTGAATAAAAAATGAAGACCCAAAATGATCAAAATCGATAAAAAAATAAATACTTAATTAACTGGAAAACGAAATGAACATATTAAAAAAACTATAAATCTCAAAATTGGTGGTGAGATATAGGTAACTAATGAAGGGGTCACGAAATGTTATCGGTACAGAGATGGATTGAATGGATGATTGGAAATGAAGATGTGAAAATGAATTTCGTCTCATTTTCGTTTTCAATTTCTGAGTCTTTATCAAGTTCCCCTCTAATAGAAACTTTACTCTTACTTATATACAAATATAATATAGGGTTTTTATTTTCTTAAATGGCTAAAAAGCCCATTTTAGGTAAGACCAAGTTAAAAATTTAAACTAATAAAAGTAAATACACTCAAAACTATTTTTTCTTTTATTTTTTCTGAATAAAAAATAGAGACCCAAAACGATCAAAATCAATAAAAAATGAACACTTAATTAACTGAAAAAAGAAATAAACACATTAAAAAAAATACAAATCCCAAAATTGGTGGTGAGATATAGGTAATTAATGAAGGGGTCACGAAATGTTATCGGACAGAGGTGAATTGAAGGGATGATTGGAAATGAAGATGTGAAAATGGATTTCGTCTCTTTTTCGTTTTCAATATCCGAGTCTTTATCATGCTCTCCTCTAATACAAATCTTACTCTTACTTATATACAAACATAAAATAGGGTTTTAATTTTCTTAAATGGCTAAAAAGCCCCGTTTAGATAAGACCAAGCTAAAAACTTAAACTAATAAAAATAAATACACTCAAAACTATTTTTTTCTTTTAGTTTTTCTTAATAAAAAATAGAGACCTAAAATGATCAAAATCGATAAAAAAGTTGACACTTAATTAACTGGAAAAAAAATAAACACATTAAAAAACTACAAATCCCAAAGATTAATAAAAAAATACTCAAATGGTCAAAATCGAAATAAAATAAGAATAAAAGTATTAGATTGAACAAACACTGACAGTTAAGAACGAGACTTCAAATTGTATCGAAAAAATAAAGCAAGCACACTGTCATGATTTACGCGAAACGTAGATTCATAAAATAGTCAGCTAAAGGTGAAAACTTGAAATATTTTCTCGCTAATTTTACGAACAGTGTCGAATCACTTTTAACGATCTGACCGTAGAACCGAAATATCAATATTATCGACATATAAACAAATTGATGCAATGCAAGAAGCGGGTATAGAGATAAAAATGCATGAAGAGAAATAACAAGTATTTTTCAACTATAAACGATCCAAATGTTGATTTAAATTGACTTTTGGTCAACCTAAATACGACTAATGATGCAAAATATGATGAATGTAGATGTTTATTGAAGATTGTGATCAAATAACAAAATATGATATGATAATGCGACTAAAAAAATATGGGCGAAATTTAGGGTGCAACAGAGACACGTGACAACAAATCTGTTTCAATCAATGAATGGTATCTTCAAAGGCATATGAAATCTCCCCGTAACCGCTTTGGTAAAATCAGTCTATTTTAGGGTGGCTTTCCTATTCGCAAAAAGAGGTGAAAATGGAGTGCAATATTACAATCGGGACAACTGTGGAGTGAAAGTTGCATGAAATTTATGAAGGTAGAAAGTGTCAAAACTAACACTCATCATATTACAAGATTCGACCGACATAACCACAAGTTCATTGTCAAAGAGACATTCGACCATAATGAGAGGCTGTCAAGACAAGAGTATATGGTTCTACTACCATCTCGTTGATGCGATTGTAAAAAGTTTCAAGCCTTTTGTATGCCTTACTCTCATGTCATTGTGATATGCATGTATGTTCATCAAGATGCATTATCACTTTTGTCTCCCTCTTACAAAGTCGATACCTTGCTCAACGTATACAACAATGGCTTTTGAGTGGTAGCAAAAGAGGATTATTGACCTGCGTACTAAGGGAAATATGTTGGCACAACGACCAAATGCGAAGGAATAAAAAGCGTTGTCCCAAAAGCAAGCGTATTACAACTGAAATGGACGCGCTTGACAAGCTAGAAAGAAAGTGTGGTATATGTCGTCAGATCGAACACAACTGATAAACGAAACTTTTTTTCATTAAGAACAATTGCTACAACAAACCGAGCACAGACAAGAAATAAAATGACATCAAAACTAAAACAACAACACATCGAATAAAATAAATTAACACGAAAAAAACATCTAAGAAATTACAACCGTCAATACAATTTCATCTGATTCATGCATCATCACCATTACGTCAGTGTCAATTTTGATATCCTCCCACCAATTATGAGGTTTTCTGGTCACAAATGAGGTGATCGTTCTTTGTCTTTGAATTCTTCTAATGATTTCGCCATCTTGGATCTCTCTGTCTAACCATCGGATCAACATTCTCTTAAGGCGCTCTATGGAATGGATGTGTCAAAACTTCATCTTAATCGGAGGTTTCGTAGTCGAGAAACAAATATATCCATCTCTTTTGAAAATCATGTTAGATGTCATGACGAAAAAATTAAGGAGAAAGTGAGAAAATGAATGAGGAATGATAGAGAAATTGAGATTTTATTTATAGAAAACGCATATACATGTAGGAGTCAGATGAGATGACACATTCTTTTTTAATTAGAGTGCATGTGTGATCCCATGTGATAAATAAGTAATGCATACATCATCTTATATAACATCTACATGCAATTTTATATAATGCACCATATGAAATGACTTGACCATGTTAACTATTTCTTAGTTATTTAGATAATTTTTTTGTGAAATGTGGTTGTTGATATATTTTTGTTTTCAATACTTGTTATTCCAAATTTTTTTTTTCAAAATATGATGTTTGATGGTCAAAAGGTTGAAAAGAATTCAATAGAGAGTGTATTAAAAGATTTTGTACACTATGAAAAGTGTTAAGTGGGTCCCAAAAACGTGTACACGGATAATTAAGTTGAGGCAGTTCACACCCTATCATTTCCATCAAATTATATTGGGACAACAACGTACGATTAATGACGACGATGATGATCTGAGAAACCTCGTTTGTCTCATACCACATCCATGAAGAAAAAGTTATTCAAAATTCAAAATCAGAAGAAAGTAAAGATTTTTCAACATGGGTCTGTCGAAAGAGAACGTAACAGGTCTTATTCTAGCGTTGGCATCGAGTGTTTTCATTGGGTCAAGTTTTATTATTAAGAAACAAGGTCTTAGAAGAGCAGCTTCTGCTTTTGGTGTTAGGGCTGGTTAGTTTTTCTTTCCTTTCTGAATTGTGTTGATTCATGGTTTTGTGATGAGGATTCATGGTTTTGAATTGTTCTTTGCAGGTGTTGGTGGGTATTATTATCTATTGGAACCACTATGGTGGGTGGGGATGATTACAAGTAAGCTTTTTTCATCCTCCCTTTTTGTTTTTCTTATGCTTCTTTTTATTGAGGGTTAGGTCTAGATTTTGTTTGACTTGAATGGATTTTGTCTTCATTATTGATTTTGTTGTACTTGAATGGATTTTGTCTTCATTATTGATTTTTGTACATTTTGGTATTTCACCTAAAAGAATTCAAACCGAACTCGAACCCGTACTTGGCAGAACCCGCCTCGCTCTGATCCATTCACAGGAACAGGCTAGGCCGGTTGTGTGCATCCCGGTTTCTCCCCTAAAGTATCTCGCCCCTAAAGGCTTCATGCTTGAGAGACCGTATACATTCCGTTATTTCAATTCAAACCGAACTTGAGCTTGGACGTGAGAGTACCCGCCCCGCCATGATCCATTCACAGGAAAAGACTAGGCCGGATTTCTCTTAATGGTCAGGACTGATACAACTCACTCTTGATCATTATCCATTACACGTATAGATGGAATGTTTTAAACCGTTGAATAGTCTAAAAGGCCGGCAAGGGGACATGTACCACAATGACAATTAAATCTCAGAGAAGGCTCTATAAAAACCAACAATCCACCAAGTATAAAGGACTGACTTTTTCCATACAACAAACACTACACTGAGATAAACATTGCGACTTTGACTGGCATAACACCAACAGAGTTATCAAATAATGTACCCAACGTGTACAATTTTGCTTTCATGGTTTCATCCAATGAATGCATGAAATTAATTGGATTTTGTTTTATTGATGAGGTTTTGAATCTTATAAGTGATGTTTGAATTAATGCCATTTTGCATTGCTTAGTTGAATATTGGAATCGAGATTTAATGCTTCAAATATGCTTTCGTGTTGTGTTTTGCCGCTAGTTTATTATCGAAGATTCTCTTTTCCTTTTTGTCAATCTGATTTCTTGCAGAATCTGTTTCTGTCTGGTCTCTTGTTCAGTGATTGTTGGAGAGATTGCAAACTTTGTCGCATATGCTTTTGCTCCCGCCGTTTTAGTTACCCCTCTCGGCGCATTGAGTATTATCGTGAGGTATTCTAAGTCTTAATTTTGTTCTCTCAATTGAATTATGGTTCACGACTTCACGGCTTCTAACTTTGGTAACTCGGATGCATTTTCAATGATATTTGCATGGTATCCTATCCTCCAGTGCTGTTTTAGCCGACATAATTTTGAAAGAGAGACTACATAAGCTTGGGATATTGGGCTGTGTAATGTGCATTGCTGGTTCTTTCATTATTGTTATCCATGCTCCTAAGGAAGAACCTATCACGTCGGTTCTGCAGATATGGAATATGGCTACTCAACCAGGTTAGAATACATCACCTGTTTTTTTAAATGCAATTTATTTTGGTTCCATAATAACCGGTATTTTCCGCATGCAGCCTTTCTAGCGTATGCCGGCTCTGTAATAGTATTGGTGTTCATTCTGGTTTTCCATTTTGCACCAAAATGTGGACATACTAATGTGCTGGTTTTTACCGGCATTTGTTCATTGATGGGTTCCCTCTCTGTAAGTAAATTAACTACCATCTTTTATGCTCAATATTCTGTATGATAATTGATCTAAACTTCAGAGATTTTTTACTCGGAGTTATTTAGTTTAAAATACACTCCCTCCGTCTCTTTCTAGTCGTTGTATTAAGGTTATTTATACATCAAGAAAACCAATAAATTTTGTTAAACTATTTGTCTTTTTCGTATAATACCCTTATTTATCATCTAATTTTCACCACTTTCTCTCTATACAACAAATAGTTAAGAGTACTATTTACAAAATAATGGTTAGTGTTGCATTGAGCATGGAACATGACAAGTAAATAAAAACAAATTTTTAGTACAAAATCGACAGTTAAAAAGAAATGAGGGAGTAAATGACTGGAGGAATATCATTTCCTGTTGCAAGTAATTGGTTCTTGGCTATTCGTTAACATTGTTAAGCGTTTTACATTGGATAATGTATGGCTTGAGCATGTACTTATAAGTGGCGGCAATCCTCACCATACAAGCCGGTTTTGTAGAGTTGAGTTAGGTCCAACCACGTTTCTTAATATGGTATCAGAGTCCACACTTTATAAGTGGGGGCAATCCTTGCCCTGCAAGCCGCCCAACCGAATTTCTTAACAAACACTATCTACCAAAATCTGGATTCTAGCCGTGAGTTTTATAAATCAAGCTTCGTCTTTCATGTAACTTGACTTATGTTTTACTTTTTTTTTTATTCAGGTGATGAGTGTCAAAGCACTTGGAACTTCTTTGAAATTAACTTTTGAAGGGAAAAATCAGTTAATTTATCCAGAGACATGGTTTTTTGTGTTAGTTGTGGCCATATGCGTCGTCATGCAAATGAATTATCTTAACAAGGTTTGTTACTTAATCGGATTTACTCTGCTTTATATAGAATGTTTGTAATACCAATTCAATTATGTTTTGCTAACACGATTACGATATTTCAGGCTCTTGACACCTTCAACACGGCAATTGTGTCTCCTATATACTACGTCATGTTTACAACGCTTACAATACTGGCCAGTGTTATAATGTTCAAGGTACCACCATCAAATGGTTTTCGCAATTTATGTCGGATGCATAAGATGTTGTTACGGGTGTTTATAAATTGTGCGAAAATGTAATTACGTTTCGAAATAATGCTTGCAGGATTGGGATGGCCAAAGTTTTTCGACTATTGTATCAGAAATATGTGGCTTTATTGTTGTACTTTCTGGCACAATAATGTTACATCTGACCAGGGACTTCGAGCGAAGCCATTCTTTTAGAGGCAGCTTGCCTACGTCACCTACATTATCTGTCCGGCTTTATACTGGAAACGGAGACTTGTTACTCAAGGAAGATGAATCTCCTGATAATACATGCTAAAGAAGACAAGATTTGAGTTAGATGGTTTCATAGGACAGAACACATTAAAGGTCTTAATTAGAAACCCCTCATATGATACCATCATTGAACAGGGGGTAAGGGGATTTCTAAAGCTATTCTTTCGTGGTTTAATTGAACAGGGGGGTGTAACGGTTTTTACTCTGTCAATCAATCATGATGTATCTAGTTTCTGATTGGTTGATAGTATTAAAAGTTTTACAAGGCGCATGCTGTACAGCGTGTCCTCGGTTAATTGTGTTAGATTTGTTTTTGCGATTTGGTTCTTTGGTACAAAGTTAAAAGTTGTAGTTTCCTATGAATATAAGAAATTTTGTTCTTATTTAAGAACATGGTTGTTACATGCTCAAACATCCTATGGATTTTGAAGGACAGTGATGATTGTACATTTTGCACATGTGAATGTATGTTAGGGAAGTACTAAAGGTATCTTCAAAGCTTCAACTTTTTTGAAGAATCCAAGATATTTTCAAGAGGGTGTTCATGATAGTTAGGTATCATGCAATTTCCTTACTCTTTCCTTAGCTGTGTCTGTTCTATGTATTAGTTTGTCCTAATGATAATTTTGTCTTAAGAGGAGACAAACATGACATTCTTAGATTTTAGCATATAATAATAGAATGGTCCTTCAGCACAAAAAATGTTTCATAAATTTCTTTTATACTTTTTAATTGTTGTTTATTTTTTTCCAGTAGAAAATTAGACATCTTCTGCACACAACTTTAAGGATCTTTTTAAATAAATTTAACATTATTGCATGCATAGAATTGGGTTTAGAATCTCTGGAAAAATTGAAGAATTTCTATTCGAGTATTTTTTATATATGTTAAACAATTGTTGATTCAATTTTTTCTAATATGGGGCAGCAAAATATTTTATTCACTTCATCTCGAATCAATACATGAATCTGCAAAAAATGTATGATAATAATTATTCTGGATTGATCTAATAACTAGGATTGACTCAATCCACGTCTACATCCAACGTGACCCAAAAACCCTGGTCCACCAACTTTGGTCCTCCGTCTGGCATGCCTGGTTGATTGCTCTGTAAACATAGCAACTCCCTGAGCCTTACGCTTGTCCGCATCGACAGTTTCCTCCCCGATCTGTTCGACACACGTGGAACAGACAACCAGGAAAAATTCAGAATAGATTTGCCTGTAATCCCATTCGTGCTCGGAGCAACGACTAGTTACGGGTACGACTGTCCATTTTGGTCAAGTCTTGACAGTTACCTATTTTTGCAGACTCGAATATCCAGACCCAAAAATAGGGATCAGTGGCCAAGCATCGAGGACACTATATAAACTCTCACACTTGTGAGGGTCAGGTATCGAATATTCATTCTAAAAATCATAATCTCTTTCTTGTATCTCTTTGTACTCCTACTGACTTTAGCACCGGAGTGTCTTGCGGGTACACCCACTTCTCTCCTTAAATTTTCAGCCTAGCAGACATCATCATCCTTCAGCCCACTTTCAAATTCTGATCAACCGGTAAGATCATTGGCACCATCTGTGGAAAATTATCTTCTCAGTCTTCCTTTTCCTCAAAATCAAAGACTAAAGTTACTTTCACTACTTTTATCACGGTCGACCATGATAACCACCATCTTTCTAGAAAGATTATACTCTCTCTCGTCCATAAGACAGATGGGAGCCAAAAGCATCCTCATCTAGAGGATGTCCCCGATGTCAGAGATGGTCGAACATCGTCCCCAGATTCGGTCGATGTTGAACGCGACAACCTCCAGTTCTTGGACGATCAGAGGTCCAAGAACTCCAACGAAGAGCTTCCAGAAACCCTCTAGCCATTTCCTATTCCACTAAATGCCGACTCGGCCATGGCAGTGCTGCTTGCTGCCCTCAATCAAACCAACACCCTAATCCTGCAGCCACAACCATTATCGCGCGTCGATACAATTGACCTCGACAGCATGTTCACAAGGGAGGATCTCCGAGAGCAGAAGAAAAAAGGAAAAGAGCCCCTGCCGGAAGCAGAAAGCTCCTCCTCATGTACGAGCAGCGAGAAGCGCGCACGCCCTGTGCGCCCAATCCTAGACGGGGAATTTGAAATCATTCCCCTGAAAAACGATCCATCCAGAGGAGTTAAGATCGATGCCGACCTCCCCGACTTGGCCAAAAGACAGCTAAAGGCGTGCCTCAGAGAGAATGCGAACTTGTTTGCCTGAAGGGAAACAGAGATGCTCGACTTAGATCCAGAGATAACTTGCCTCTATCTGACGATAGATCCTGCCGTTAAGGCAGTTGCTCAATGTAGGTGCAAGTAGTCCCCGAAGAAAACTGAGGTTGTCGAGTAGGCTGTCAAAGACCTCTCAAAGGCAAATTTTATTTTCGAAGCCCAATACACAACCTGACTCTCTAATATAGTTCTTGTAAAAAAGAGTAATAGAAAATGGTGCATGTGCATTGACTATACCGATCTCAATAGGGCTTTCCCTAAAGACGCTTACCCCTGCCGAGTATAGATAAATTGGTCGACAATTCTGCAAGTTTCAAATTACTGTCGTTCATGGATGCGTACTTTAGATACAACCCGAACCCCGTGGCAAAAACTGACAAAAAATACATGGCCTTCATGACCGAATCGGGTAACTATTACTACAATATAATGCCCTTCAGACTGAAGAACACGGGCGCCACCTATCAACGCATGATGAACAAGGTCTCCCCTTTTTTAAACTTCTCTACAAAGAAGTCGCGTTTGAATGGACCAAAAACTGAGAGCACGCTCTCCTCCATCTCAAATGAGCATTATCTCAACCACCGGTCCTATCAAGACCAGACAAGGAAGAGACTCTCTACCTCTATCTGGCCATAGCTTCCGAGGCAGTTAGTGCTGCTCTCATTCGGGAGACCCCCGAGGGGTAGAAGCCTATCTACTTTACGAGCAAAGTCCTGCAAGGTCCCGAAGTATGATACCAGCATATAAAGAAAGTAGCCCTACACTCATCAACATGGAAAGGAGACTGAGATACTACTTCTTGGCACACACTATCGTGATCCGCACGGACCAGCCAATAAAACAACTACTTGGTCAGTATGATATGACCAGCAGGATGCTCAAGGGTCGTTAGAACTCTCTGAGTTTGAAATCAGGTAGAGAGCAGGAAATCCCTTAAAGCATAAGTGTTGTCCGACTTCATAGCAGAAATGACCTTCCTGACCCCCACAAATAGGGCACACAAGTGAACCATCTTCGTGGACGGAGCTTTCAGCTCGACGAGAAGTAGAGTAGGTATCATACTGGAAAATGAGGAAGGAATACTAATCGAAGTCTCCCTCGCACTATCCTTCCCAACCTCGAACAATCAAGCAGAATACGATGCTCTCCTCACTGGGCTCTGCCTGGCTGAGGACTTGGACGTCGAGGAAGTAAAGATCTTCATAGACTCCCAGCTCGTCGCCTCCCAGGTACGAGGGGAATACCAAGTCAAAATGACTGTGATCGGTGGGAATAGAACTGACTGTTTTGGAATGCTGGTTCGCATTTTGCGTTTGTTTTCACAAAATGTCGCGGTGAGCAAGAGTCGCCACCGTCTTTTATTTTATCCAACAAGGAAAGGAAAAAAGCACAGAAAATTCCTTTTTTCGAGATGTTTCTCGGGTTCGGGAGGTAGATTATAGAAAGGGAAGGTGTTAGCACCCTTTCTATCTGTGGTTATCCACGGGCTCTTAGGTACTTGCTCAAAGTGTTTTCAAAATTTGCTTTTCTTTGTGTTTGTGGGTTTGAAAAGAGTTTTTTGTTTGAAAGGAGTGTAAGTGTGAAAAGTTTTGTTTTGTTTTCAAAGGAGCAAGTACTTAAGAACCATCTACCTACTCGAAAAGGGAATTAAACTGTGCTAATATCCTTTAGATAATGCTAGCCCACTATTGAGGAGTAAGTAGCATCGTCGTTGGAGTTTAAGGGTCAATTCGATTAAGGGACGTGTGGTCACTAAAGCAATGTTAGGACGCCTTAGCGGTAACCCTAATATCTTAGATCATTTCATCAGAGGCAACCGTTTCGAGGCAACTATGATCTTTGGACAAGAGGGCGACCTCTAAAACTTCCTATACTCAATGACCACGTTCGAAGGCAACCAAGTGAGGTGTACCCTAAGAGTGCGCATGTGCGAGTGTGTTAGTTCGGTTAATTTTATCTGTACATGTCATGGGTGAGCTATGTTGATTTTAAGTTCATACATTTTATCTTTTCATGCATTCCCTATTATCAAACATCTAACAGTTTATAGTTGCGAAAATAAAATTGCGGAAATTAAATCTAAACTATTACAAGGCGTCGGGTATTTACATCGCCAAAAACAAACCCTTTAATTTAAATTGCGGAAAGTAAAATAAAGCGATAAATAATTAAGGTCCTAATTAAAAGCTATTATATACCGGAAGCAATTACAATATTGAATAAAACGATACGCGTGCGAGAAATTAAATCGGACGAGTTTTTAGGGTTTTGACCCTTTTTTTATTAAAGAAAAGATTTTTGCTTATTTTTGAATTAAATAGAAATTAAATTAGGTCAAAATTAATTAATTAATTAATTAAAATATTTTTGGTTTTTTTTAATATTTAAGGAAATAAAATAAAATGGATTAATGTCAATAAAAAAACTTAATATTCTAAATTGGTTTTAATCATTGAAAAAATGTTAAAAGTTAAACCTATTTAAAACTAAATCAATTAAATTAATTTATTTACAAAAATAAAATAATGAAATCAATTTTAATAAATAATAGAAAAAATAATATTTTTTTTGTGTTTTTGATTTTATAAGGAAAAATAAATTATTTGGTTAGTAATTAATTAAGAATATTAAAATAAATAAGGAAAGTAAAATAAAAATGAAAGAGATACTCATGGGGGTGTTGGGCCCAGATTGTGGTGAGAATAGCATTTTGTTTGGCCCAATTCAAGTCAGCCTGTTTGACTTTCCAGGATCTCACGCGTATGCATTGACTGG